ATTTTTATTTTCATTTAAAAATATATATTTTTGTTAAAATTTACTTAAAAATATGACTAAATTAAAAGATATGTAAATAACATAAATAAAATGTGTGATTATATCAAAATATTTAACTACTTGTAATCATCATTTTTAATCCAACCTTTTTTAAAATTAGTATTAGTATTATCATAAATAAAAATATTATTAAATATTATTTACATTTACAAATCAGACCCAATACAATATCAAAAAAACCTAAGCCCACAATCTTACCTTCTTTGTGGCTAATGTTAACCCTATTTTAGGGTTAGCCACCACTCATCATTGTAACCACTGCAGCAGTTGTTGTCGACCGAGTTCGCCCCACTTCTAGTCACGCCGATTATTGAGGTATCAGGTTGAACCGGATCAGATCTCAACAAATCCGAAGAATTTAATGCCTCACTTACCCAAGCAAGGCAAACATGCGCGACCATGCCCTCCCCTTACTATCTGTACGAGCCTTGCCAACCACCATGCACAAAAGAATGGTGAATGTCAGAGCTAGTAGAAATTAGGTTTTGATTTTTTACACTTTCGTAAAAAAATATATGTATCAGAAAGTGGTTATATAAACATCATTGGCAAACATTGTAAGGGATCTTTCCCTCATTTTACAGAACCCTATTTTCGAAACCCTATTTTTTTTCCTTTTTCCCAACAAGTTTCGAAACCAAGAAAAGAGTACAAAAATGTCAGTTTATTTACCTTGCTTCAATCGGGTCTTCGCCAGAGTGGAGAAGCTAAGAGATCGAGTCTTTTTTTAGGGTATTTTAGGGTCGTTTTTGGGTCTTTCGTTGTCGATTTCTGGGTTTAGAGAGGGATATCGAGCATTTTGTGTCATTTTGGTTAGGTCTAAGTCAGCTGTGACCGGCGTCTGGTTTTGAGTTTTGGTGGCTTACGGCCTAGAAAGAGTGAGAGGATGAGAATAGATGGGATTTGTGTTAAAAGTGGCTAGGGTTCCCAAAAAAAAGGATTGCCTTTTATATTGAAAGTGTTTGGGCTATTCGCTTTTTGGGTCCTCTAATAGTTTCCGTGTATTTTTATTTTAGTCACATGTGGTGTTTTCTTTGTGATTTATTTTAGGGTAAACTCCAGAGTTGGTCACTTTTATTTTAATTTTATAAACGTATGGTCACTCTTTAAAAAATTTAATTCATAGTTGTAAATGCTCATTTTTGTCCGGAGGATTCGTATCCAGTACATGATACAAATTTGGACCAGTGAGAGCCCAAATCAGCCCAAAACAGCAGTGTTAATTCCAGTCTTCAATCCACGTGAAGTCCTGCAAAACAAGAACGGTTAGCAAGGGGAAAAGTAGTGTTAGATCGTGGGAGGGATATTGAGCACTCAAGAAACTTTAAGAGTCAGTTTTAATTAAAAAATGACTATCAATAAAGAAAAGAGAGGGAGATTACACGCAGAAAAAGAAGAAAAAAACAGAGATATATCAGCAATCGAATCAGCCATTACGAGGGGAAAACGAGATGAACCAGAGATGATTTTTTTTTGAAAAGGCAATTAGCTGATTGAACAAAAAAGGAAAATCGACCCCACTGATTCTTTGTTTTTAGAGAGAAAAGCAACGAACGAAAAAACGTTGTACAGAGGTATTTTCCTCCTGTTTGAAGATCAAAGGAAACAATCCCATTTTTCATTGAATCAAAGCAATGCACAGAATCAAATAGGGTGCTTATTTTTCTAATTTCCATTCTCGCTTTCATAATTTTCTTGTGTGTCCATATGTTTTGAACCAAAACCAAGTCAGAATCATAAAGGAGATAGTTTAAACGTTTACCTTAGTTGTCTTGTTTTGCCTCCTAGTCGTTTGAGTCTACACTGTCAAAATAAAGGGGTCGTGTTAATTGGAAATAGGTTCATTATAAAATAAAAAGAAGAGGGTCTTGATAGTTTACCTTATGATGCGTCGGGGTTTGGAGTCGAACTTGTCGGCTTTAGAAGTTAGGGGTCGATTTGGTGAGTCTTAGTCTCGGGTTAGTTGTCTAGAGAGAGAACCAAGGGACTTGGGTTGGTTTAGGGCTTTACTCGGTGGTTGAACGGTGGTCGTTTGGTGTGTAAAAAGCCTGGCCGAGAGATGGATAGATAAACGTATGGTCACTCTTTAAAAAAATTTAATTCATAGTTGTATATGCTCATTTTTGTCCGGAGGATTCGTATCCAGTACATGATACAAATTTGGACCAGTGAGAGCCCAAATCAGCCCAAAATAGCAGTGTTAATTCCAGTCTTCAATCCACGTGAAGTCCTGCAAAACAAGAACGGTTAGCAAGGGGAAAAGTAGTGTTAGATCGTGGGAGGGATATTGAGCACTCAAGAAACTGTAAGAGTCAGTTTTAATTAAAAAAAACGACTATTAATAAAGAAAAGAGGGGGAGATTACACGCAGAAAAAGAAGAAAAAAAAACAGAGATATATCAGCAACCGAATCAGCCATTACGAGGGGAAAACGAGATGAACCAGAGATGATTTTTTTTTGAAAAGGCAATTAACTGATTGAACAAAAAAGGAAAACCGACCCCACTGATTCTTTGTTTTTAGAGAGAAAAGCAACGAATGAAAAAACGTTGTACAGAGGTATTTTCCTCCTGTTTGAAGATCAAAGGAAACAATCCCATTTTTCATTGAATCAAAGCAATGCACAGAATCAAATAGGGTGCTTATTTTTCTAATTTCCATTCTCGCTTTCATAATTTTCTTGTGTGTCCATGTGTTTTGAACCAAAACCAAGTCAGAATCATAAAGGAGATAGTTTAAACGTTTACCTTAGTTGTCTCGTTTTGCCTCCTAGTCGTTCGAGTCTACACTGTCAAAATAAAGGGGTCGTGTTAATTGGAAATAGGTTCATTATAAAATAAAAAGAAGAGGGTTTTGATAGTTTACCTTATGATACGTCGGGGTTTGGAGTCGAACTTGTCGACTTTAGAAGTTAGGGGTTGATTTGGTGAGTCTTAGTCTCGGGTTAGTTGTCTAGAGAGAGAACCAAGGGACTTGGGTTGGTTACCTAGTGGTTGAACGGCGGTCGTTTGGTGTGTAAAAAGCCTGGCCGAGAGATGGATAGGGTTGGTGAGAACGGCATCGAAGAGGGAATGAAACCGAGAGGTTAAGGGCTTTTTTTTGAGTATGTTAAGATTTTTTTTTTGCGATTTAGACACAGATTGGAGGTTAGCAGGGCGAGGCGAGAGTCATGAGGGGTTTGGGATCGTTGGTTTAAGTCACTTGAGTATCGTTTGTGGTGGTCGGGTTTAGGGGTTGAGAGCAGCGTCGTGTGTGGCCGAGAGAGATAAAGATGGGGAAAGCTTGAGTGGCTGAAGGCTTTCCTGTGCGTGATTCACTTAGGCTTAGGTTTAGTTTAGATTTTATATTAAATATTTTTGGTAAATTAGAGTCTAGTCACTGTAACCTTAGTGGTAAATTATCTTTAGATCCTCCTAGGTTTAGTTCTTATTTATAATTTAGTCACATTCAGGACAGTTTTCGAATTCTGCCATTTTGTAATTAATCTGATTTCATTGTTTTCTCAATTTTAGTTTTAGTTGTAATTTTTTGGGTTGTTTATGTTTAAATCCTTTATATTTATATGTGTTTTTGTTTAAGTCTCTGTTTAAATTTTTTATTTGTATGTTGAATTTTATATTATTCAAATTTAGTCATTACATTAATGTATATATACACTTTTTAAAATTTATAGTTTGGCATGTTCTGTTTTTGTTTTCGTATTTAAGTCACATTTGTATATTATATGTTAATATGCATGGTTTATAAATTTTAATTAAAATATATGTATATAATTTTTGTATGTCACATTGCATGATATTTTTAAATCATATTACTTGTTTAATTAATTTTTGGCATGACATTCTTTTTTCACAATTTGTATGATACCCTCATGTGCATAACTTGACTTATAAATACATAATCGGACTAAGGGTAATACCCTTTTAATTTAAAATTCTCTTGAGTGACTTGTCTTAACTCATTAGAGGGTCGTTTTGACGATTTTAAATTAAAAGTGTATCCCGAAAGTGAAACCTAAAAAAACTTGATTCGTCACTTAAAATTTGGGAACGAAAGAAAAGAAAATGTTCGGATATTTAAATTTTTCGAGAAAAGATTGTTACAACTCATCTAAGATATGGTCTCGATATTTTTAAATAATCGAACATTCTTTATCTTTCTAAAATGATTTGGTAATTTTAATTTAATTAATTTGACTGCTTTTGAATATTATAAAATTCAATCTTTGTTTTATGGGATTAAAAGTCAAATTAAGTTTGAATTTATAAAGTTCATTGCAAAGACGTTAATTAATCGACTAGGTACCGATTTAGGGCGCTGTTGGGGTGCTAATCCTTCCACACACGTAACCGACTCCTGAATTCATTTTTGGTAACGCATACCTCAATTTGTTGTTTTAATTAAAATTAATTTTTATTTAAAATGACAACGTTTTTGGGTGCTTAATCACACCCTAATCAAATATTGGTGGCGACTCTTCGAACCATATGTTTTTATTTTTAAGGAATCTCAAATTTTTTGAAACGAGAGGTTTTTTAAATCGCATTTGTTTTAAAATTAAAAATAAATTGAAATAGATAAATTAAAATTTGTATGGTTTTTAAAATCTCAACTTAAGAAAAAAATCGTTTCGACAATAGCCACTTTCGTTTTGTTTTAATTAAGATATGATCATTTTCGTTTCATTTTAAGATGTGATCATTTTCGTTTCATTTTAATTAAGATGTAGTCAATTACCTTAAACAGTCGTTAAAAGTTTAATGATTTGATGATATGACATTCGAATAAAATGGTTTAATTTTTGTTTTAACTCTTGAACTTTAGATAAAATTTAATTATAAACTTTTTTTGTAAATCTAAAACAATTTAGGGACAAGTTTGTAATTTACCATTTTTTTATAGGCTTTTCTTCTTAATTCCCCTACACCGCACACCCCATTTCCTCCCCCTCCAGCTATGGCAAAGCCGTCGTCAAACATCAACCTCGTCTATGCCTATTTCTATCCCTATTTCTCAACCCAGTCTTTTCCACCTTAACTTACTATCAAATCTACCCCATCAAAACCCTCATCTCTAATCTCCTTTACATCCTCACCGTCTCCATCCTCTCTCTCTTCGCCACCGGTTCTGTCACCTACAGCGTTTTCCACAGCTTTCACGGTTGACCCGTCAAGCTTTCATCCTTTATCAAGGCAGCTTTCACTTCCTTTCTCCCCTCCTCTCAACTTGGCTTGTAACTCAGCTTATCATTTATGGGATCGGTTTAGTTCTTGGTTTGGCCTTTTTCTCATTATTCAAAGCAATCCAGCTTCTAGGCCCCCAAGTTGATTGCTGTTCACCTTATTTCATTTTCCTTTGTCTTGCTTATGTGATCATCCTCATGTTTATCATGGTTTATTTGCAAGTGGACTGGATATTTGCTTATGTCATCGTCGTGGTTGAATCAAGCTGAGGATTTGAACTTCTAAACCACTGGTAACACATCAACAGAATCTTCACAATTTCAAACTCTCTTTCTCTGTCTATTTTTCCTGTATTCACACTGCCTTTGATGGTTTTTGATTCTTTTTTGAACTCTGGAAGCTTAGAATGACAGAACTTCCTGGGTTTTGTTTTTGTTTGGGTTGCTGAAATGGATTTGCTTTGTTAGAGCAGTTTTGTCTTTTGGGAACTACAATTACAAGGAAAAAAAGCTTGGTTTGTTGATCTTCTAAATTATGTTGATTTTTACTTAGTGTTTCCTGCAGTTGCTCGCGCTGTTCATCAGTGCACAATCTCTTTGTTTTCTGTTTATTTACTGATCAACAACAACGCATGTTCACAAGGTTTCTGTGGATGTGTATTTAATGAATTTCCATGTCAATTAATTTTTTAAATGACCAAAGATGATTGACATTGGTAATGGGTAGGGATTTTTGTTCTGATGCTACTGGGAACCCGTTTACTAGATCACCAAATTCAACTTTCTATGTGTACTATGGTGAGTACCCTTTTTCTTTCCTTCATATTTATTCTCTGTTTCAATTACCCATTCATGATTCAATCATACCCGGATTGTCGAAAATTTATCCATGGAAGCAGAGGCTGGAGATATGCATCGAAGCAGCTCTTGGATTACATTACCTTCACAACGGAGCAAAGCGAGCAATAGTTCACGGTAACGTTAAGAGCGGAAACATTCTTTTGGGTTCAACTGGGTTTGCAAGCTTGCCGAATTCCGGACTTCCAAACTGCGTCCCCGTCGCAATTCTAAGCCGAAAGCTTCGGAAGAATAGATCCATTAGTGCAGAGTAATTTAGGGTATTTGGATCCCGAGTATCTGGAAACAGCGCAACTGGAGGAAAAATGTGATGTGTACTCATTTGGGGTTGTTTTGTTTGAAGAGTTGTGTGGTAGAATGCCATTTGTGGAGCATGATGGGGAGATGAAGATGACTCCAGTTGATCTGCCATGCCGGTCGATTAAAGAAAGAACCATTTATGATATGATTGATCCATTTTTGAAGGGGAGGATTCCGCCAGAGTGCTTCAAGCTGTTCGTGGACATCGCCGGTTCATGTACTCGTGTAGTCGGAGACTCACGGCCTGAGATGGGTGAAGTGGAGGCGACGCTGGAGCGTGCTTTGGAATTGCAAGAGAAGGCTGATTCCAAGCCAAAGCTTATGGTTTCAGGGGAAAACTTATAAAATTTAATAAACTATTACTTTTTATATTTATACATTTTTACTTACTAAACTTAAAAAAAATTATTTATATTATCATTTGATTAATTTTTTATCAATGAAATGTTATTAATAAGAAATAATAGATTTAAAAATATTTTTTAAATATATATATATATATATATATATATATATATATATTAATAATAGAAAGCTCTACTTATAATAGATACAAATAAAATTTCAAAAAAATTAAAAATTAAATTTTCGGATTCACATATATCTAACTAACTGTCAGCCATGATGTTTTAAATATCAACAAAATGTACCCCCGGGCGGGGTCATTTAGCTGCTAACGGTTCTGGAAAATGAACAGCAAGAAAGAAACATCGGGTGTGAGGTACGGGTAGGTAAAATTTGACTCGACTCGTGTCGAAGGGGTCTTTCGGTTAAGTCCGAAATTAGGTTTCGATTTGAATAAAAATATTAGAGTCGTCACCGATTATTTAAAAATAAATTTTAGGTTGATCGGACATCATCTTACCTAAAATGTGTTTTACCATAAATATGTCAGGTTCAGAAGTTGATTACGATCAAGGAAGAAATAGTATTCTTGAAACGTCCTTTCGGTACCGTTTTAATTTGTCGGTTGTCTTAATTGCGAAAATTAAAATTAAAATTTAAATTTAAATTTAAAAATCCAATTCAAATTACTTACCTTAGATTGATTAAAAATTCTCCTAAAAAAGTCAAGAATATTATTAGATTGTAAAATAAAAAATAAAAAAATATGAAAAAAATAAAGAAAAATATTAATATAATCATAATAATAAATAAATGAAATAGATAAATAAAGATAAATAAAATTAAGTAAAAAGAAAAAAATAATAAAATAATGAAAAAAGGCTAAATTTTGAAATAAAAAAATAAACATAGAAAAGGTTTAGAAAATAAATATTAAAAAAATTGAAACATAAATAAATAAAAAAGGATCAAATTAAATTAAATTAGAATTTATAGACTGAAATTAATGCTAAAAGTGTACTGCAAGAGAAAAAACAAAATTAGGGGGTTAATTCGCAAAATATAAGAAATATAAACAGGGATCAAATTGAATAAATTGAAAATTCAGAGCCAAAATTGCAATAGGTGACCAAAACAAATTTCACTTCAAAATATGAGGGATTGCAGAAATAATTTAACTATTGGTTAATTACACAGTGATCCCTCACCTATAAATAACCCAAAAACTAAAAAAAATATCATTTTCAACTAAACCAAAAAAAAAACAAAAAAAAAACTCTATAAATCCTCTCCCCTAAAAACCATCTGGCCGAAGGTCAGGCAACCTCCGACGACCCGTCGCTTCAGCCACCGCTAAACCTCCCCAAAATGTTCCTCTCAACACCCCAACCCAAAAACCGAAGCTCAAATACCCAAAAAATACCCCCTCCAACATAGATCTAGCGACGAAAGTCTCGGGTTTACTTTTTTCCGACGAGCCTCTACGATTTTCAGCGACCTTTGACGCTCCACGACCGGACTCCCTTTTGATTAGTCCCAAAACCGAATCCTTTCTGTTTTGTTCTTGCTATTACGAATATTTTTGCTTCGTTTTTTTTTGTTACCTTGATTGCCTTTTTGTGCTTCGTTTACTGGATGTTGTAATGGGTGTTTTTGTCGTGTTGGCTGTGTGATTGCTCTCCGGTCGTTTGGTTCCGTTGTGTTTCGATCGATTTGTCTTTTCCTTTGTTGCTCTCGGCCGGGGCTTTTTATAACCTCATGGTTGGCTGTTGTGGTCTAGAAAATAACGTGTTGTTACTTAACTTACTCGTTCTGATCTTCTCGTACATGCCGTTCGGTCGGGATTTTATGGATGGTTCAGTCCCAATCTCGGCCGGTTGTTAACCTCCAATCTCCAAGCGCGATATGTGTGGCACCAATGCCAAAATACGTAACCCTAGTTTGATTGGGCTGGGTCAAACCTACCTAACCGGGTCTGCTGGGCTTCGTTTGGACATAAAATGAAAATAATAAAAAAATAAAAAGGAAAAATGAATAATAATAATAAGTAATATATATATATATATATATATATATATTAATATAATAAAATAAACAATAATAATAATAATAATAATAAATTCAAAACCATACATTATATACATTTTCAAAACTATTTTCAAAAACTATATATTATATATATTTTTTCAAAATGTTTTCAAAAACTATATATATATATATTCAAAAACGTTTTCAAAAACTATATATTATATATGTTTTAAAATTTTCCAAAACTATAATATATATATATATTCAAAATATTTTTAAAAACTATATATTATATATATTTTTTCAAAATGTTTTCAAAAACTATATATTATATATATTTTTTAAAAATGTTTTCAAAACTATAATATATATATATATTTAAAACGTTTTCAAAACTATAATATATATATATATATATATATTCGAAATGTTTTCAAAACTATATAATATATATATTTTCGAAATTCGTTTTCTAAAAATTATATATTATATATTTTCAAAAAATATTTTCAAAAACTATACTATATTAATATATATATATAAAGAGGAAAAATAAAAAGAAAAGAAAAGAAAAAAAATCGGACAAAAATGAGTGTCTACAGCTGCCCCTATTTATCCTTTTTCGTATAACGAAAAATAGGACAAAGATAAAGGGACACAAATTTTCGTTCATATGAAGGGGTCTCTGAGTCTAATATCCTCCCTTGTGGAGTTGAAAATTGACTCTGATATTGCAATTAGAAATAACTCCTGTTAAATTGAGTTGCGGATGACTCCTCCGTCGCAAGGTCGAGTCCGTCTTGAAATGATATGAAATTGAAGTCGTAGTTCAGAATTTGAATCGGACTGTGGCTTATTGTTGCCAAAACGTAGTCAACTTTGGTTTTTTTCTCGGTTTAAAATTCGACTGGAAAGTAGTTTCTCGATACTACCATGTGGTTGATAGGCCCTCAAGCTGAATGAAATCAAACTCGAAAGTTTTTGTTGACAAATAACTCTTCTCGCCTTGAGTTATGTTGTACTAAGCTGAAAGATTGCCCCAGATCTTCCTCTTGACTTAAAGACCTCGGTTTAAACTTCAACCGAGAAGTAGTTCCTCGCTGCTACCATGCGGTTGATATGTCATCGAGCTGAATGGAATTGAACTCGACAGTTTTTGTTGACAGATAGCCCTTCTCACTTTGAGCAATGTTGTAAATTTAATACGCCTTTGAGCTGAATGGAATTGAACTCGAAGGTTTTTGTTGACAAATAGTCCTTCTCGCCCTGAGCTATGCTGTAAATTTGATATGCCCTTGAGCTTAATGTAATCGAACTCGTAGGTTTTTGTTGACAGATAGTCCTTCTCTCCTTGATCTATGTTGTAAATTTGATATGCCCTTGAGCTGAATGTAATCAAACTTGAAGGTTTTTTGCTGGCAGATAGCCCTTCTCGCCTTGAGCTATGCTGCGAATAGTTCCTTTAAGTGAAAAACGGCTCCCCTTCACGGGTCTAAGCTAGTTATAATTCTTTAAATGACTCCCCTTCACGGGAAAGCCATGTGGGACGTTCTTCGAGTGATTCCTCTTTGTGAGAAAGGCAAGTGAGGTAGTATGTCAGTTGGATATCATCCATCTTGGAGTTAAAATCTGGCTTGAAAATTTTAACTGAAAAATACTCACTCGTCATTGAGTTAAGCTGAACTGGATTCATTCTGAATTGGCTCTCGACCCCGTCTGAATTTGATTCTGAGATCTGCCAATCTTTCAATATGTCAAGTTGATTGAGGTGTAGCTTATTGTTGTTGAGTTAAGCAACCAACATCGATCTTTGAAGGTGATTTTGAATCGAGTATCTTTCTTCTTGAAGTCAAAACTTGACTATAAAGCTGCAAAAATTATGCATGCGGGGAAAATGATAAATGTGATGCTCTTAAGTATGTCTAAGATGTATGCAACATGAATTAGTTCTGGTTTTATCTCCTGGATGGAGTCTCATTCTTTGTCTGTCGATCTGGTCCTTGGAATCGATCATGCCCCATTTTCTTCTCGGGTTGCTGACAATGTCACAAAGGAGTGTCAGAAGTTCTATCTGATCACTTGGATTGATTGCTTTCAAGAATGTGAAATGCTTGAAATTTGGCATTATTTATTAGTTCTTCAATAGAGGCAAAATGAGCCTCAACAATTTCCAGGACTTTTCACATTTGAGACTGTCCTATTTGAAAATATTTTTTCCTTTCTTTTATTTTAGGAGGAAAAATAAGGATATGAGAATATAAAAATTTTGTAAAACATTGCCCCTTAGTTCAGGCTCATAATCGAATCAGATCATAAACATGAGTTCACAAAAAATCAAAAGAATCAATAGCTATTTAATGTTTTCAGAATTATAGCTCATTGACAAATATCCAAATTGAGGAGTTGGCTTTAGGTCAGCTTCCTATTTTTTAAAGTTTCGGCCACCCAAAATGTCATTTCTTTTTTGAACATCACAACATGTCTCTTTTCCTTGGCTTGGCATTTTAATCGCATGCGGACAAAATGATGCAACTAGCATAATCAATTAGTAGACCTTCTATTTCGGTCCTCTGAAATATTCTATTTGTTCAAGCTTCATAGACTCCTCTAACAAAGTCAGTGCATAAATATTGGTCTAAAAATGAAATTCCCGAGTGCTTGTGTGAAATTGACTATAACAGGTGTTCCTTAACTCCCTTAGTCCATCTTTACCGAAACTCCTTATTTAGATAAATTTAATTTAATTTGTCATTGTCTGGCTAGCTGAATCCATAAAGTCAGGGCATTTAACCGATTGGTCTAGAATTTAACCAATTGCACTAGAGGGACAACTCAATATTATAATCACCTTTATCAGGCTAGCTTAATCTTCTCCATAAAGCCGGGGCGTTTAACCAATTGCTTTAGAGCGACAACTCAAGCTTTATTGTATAGATATTATAATTACCTTTATCA